AATAGGAGTATAATCATCAATATGCTTATCACCAGTTTGCTTAATATCCTAAACAAGTTTGGTAAACACATCCAAATTGTCATCCATGTCTTTGGACAAATCAAGTTTGAACCGGAAAACTTTTTCAAGCAAGAACAACTTATTCGGCAAAGAAGTTTCAGTATATAGCTCCTCTAATTTTTTCCAAAGTTCTTTACCAGAGTCCAATTTACCAACTTTTCTTAACATAGAGTCAGGTAGGTTCAGAATAATCGAAGAATAAGCAAACTCATCAATTTCGGCCCTTTTCTCGGCCGACACATTCACAGAATGAGAAAGGTCAATTGCTTTAAACACTTTTTGTTGAACAAGAATACCTTTCATTTTCTGCTGCCAAATACCAAAATCAGATTTTCCATCAAACGGGACTAAGCTAAAAGCTAAAACGGATCCCATTTTTAAAAACACACAAGTTTTTGCACAGAAAATCACACAAAGCAAAATACACAAGAAAATACGCCAAATAGCCAGAGTACCACGAAGATACAAAACGCACAGTAACAATCCCACATGGCAAGTTACACAGAGCGAATAAAGCACAACGAAATAACACTACAAAAGTGATAAATCACAAAAGCATGCAGCTTGAATCTCCAGCAAAGCGGTAAATCACACAAATCACAAAGATCCTAAATTCTATCAGCACGTTCCCAACAGGCAATCCCCAGCCATGGGCTACAACTACGAAAGCAGTAAAAGGTGGGTTCAAGCCAATTTACCTGAGCGAGCCCTAAGAAAAAGAACTCGACTTACCAGAGGCGACGAGCAGATGACCTGGCTCTTGCCAGGCTCTGATACCACTGTTGGGTGGTCGTCTGGCTCGACTCGTCGGGCCCGGGCTGGCCCCGAACAGTCCCGAACAGCCTCTGGTTTGTCCCGGAAGCTCCCAGCAGGCGCAGACAGCTTCGTGTTGGCCCCGAACAGCAACCTTTCGAGCCCGAACAAGTCCCGGTTTGACCGCTTCTAGCCGAAAACGAAAATTACCAATAAATATACTAATTTCAACAATCAAACAATATAAATGAATTGAAATTGCTGAAAATAAATAAAGCATAGAGAGGAACGAATACACCCTTTTGTCGTTCTCGTACGTGAAGCCCAAATGCTACGAAGATGCCGAGATGATGGGTTGAAATAGAGCACAGGCTCAGTCCCCTTTCGTCAAACCCTCAAAATGAGTCACAGAAGAACCGATCAATTGGACTCGTGACCTCAATGACTCCGGCACTATAAACCCAGTGGTAACTCCACCGACCGACGCACAAAGTTCAGCCCGAAAGCAGCCCGAACACGAAAACCCCAAAAACCCCCCTCTCACAACAGAGAGAATAAGGTTGGGATATTTTTAAAGCTGCGTAGAAGTAATTTGAACAGAGCAGAGCAATTTTAAAAGGCTGCGTTTGTTAGTAACAGATAGAGTAAAGATCGGGTTTTTGAAAGTTATGAGATTTCTGCAAATTCTCCTAGGGCTACTCAATTCAATGGCTGATGGCTGCTACATTTAAAGAGGGCAATTAATGGCTGAGATCAAGCCACTTTATTACGAACGGTCATGATCACATCAGATCATAAAATGGGCTGCCAGACTGGGCTCAGGCCAAAGAAATTTGGTCAGAGCATTGTTGAATATTGGGCCATCAATAAAATATCACTTGGGCCACAACACCAACACTCATAAATTGCCTCAAAGACTTTAGGGTTAAGTCGGGATTAGAAATGAACGTCCAGAAATCCAATATTTATTTGGCGAGAGTAAAAGATGCTAATTGGGCAACGATTCTTGATGACACGCACTATGGTCCAATGCCCTTTCGGTACCTCAGAGCCACTCTCACTCGGAGCATGTCACTGCAAAGCTCTTTGATGGCTTGGTTAAGCAAATCGAACAACTTAGCGGATGGCGTGGCCATACACTCTCATACGCCGGCCGAGCGGAACTCATCTGCTCGGTGATCCAAAGTATTGAGTGCTTTTGGTTGGGGATATTCCACTTGCCTATTATGAGAGGAAGGCCCTTGGAGTATAGACTTTTCCTTAAGCACATTATGAGAAGTTGCTATGATTCCGCGAGGTCTTCCACTTGCCTATTATGAGAGGAAAGCCCTTGGAGTATAGGCTTCTCGCAAAAGCGCGTAGTTTATCGTACAATCTTTGCGCTGTATTCGAATGTGCTTGCCGAATATGAGAGGAAATCCCTTGGAGTATAGGCTTTTCCTTTTCATGAAGAGTTTGGGGGTTGTTGGCAGCTTTGGGCCCTGATGCCCAGGCTCAATCCGCAAAAGGCGTCGCGCCGCGACGCACTTGTGTTTAATGTACTTTTGCCTTGGTTAGGGACTTGAGTGAGCAACTGCTTGTGGTTGTCCTCTTAGACTTTTCATTCGCGAGTGATGAGTCGAGCATGTGGCTACCCAGTGCTCACTACGCGTTTGTATGCCACTTGTCGGTCGTTAAAACACCAATTTTGATCTATAAATTTACTTTTGCCGAGAAAAAAAAATAAAACACTCCCTTTATATATTCATTAGTTTTATTGACAAAAATAAATTGAGTAAATTCAAAAATTAAAACATCTCCGTATATAATTCATCTGAAGTGTTTACATAGCTATCGATACTTATTATGAGCACCAACCACGTACAAAGATCTCGTGATCTTTTAATATCACCGTGGCTAGTACGAGATTGATATATTAATTATTAATTTAAAATAATCTTGATGTAATTGAAATGTTATGTATAGACTATTTCCCACATTATTTGATTATAATACTCAAGTGCAATAGCTTAGCAACAAAATCAAGTAATCATAACATTCAGCTAATAACACGATGCAAAATCACAGTTGACCGTGTTGTTCAAAAGTTTTCAATGCACCTTTTGTCATAATCATATCGAGTTTATATGTCAAACATGCACATGATTTCTTAAAATAAAACTTGACCATGTCAAAAGTTAAATGCTCAACAATACTACATTGATTGAAGATTCAAAAGCCGTACACAAAATATTTTTTTAGTATTTTTTCTAAATAGTTTTGTTTCTAAAGAAGAATTTCAAAACTCAAAGTAGAGCCTAAACGTGGCCATGGGCTGGGTTCGGGCCCGTTGACTTTGTCCGTGTTCGGGCCGTTGACTTTCAACTCGAGACCGTTGACTTGGGATTCATGTCATGGAGAGGACCAAGCTCGAGTATTAGAAACTGAATCTAATTCAAGCAAAACAGTTTTTCATTCAGATAGGCTCATCAAAATTTCCTCTAGAAATTTTTGAATATTGGACAGTTTCAAGGCTGAGTTGAAATCAGAAGGGTATTAACCACTTCGTTCTCGAATTTCTTTAGTTGTTGCAAGATCAACGAATGCTAAGCAAGAAACCCAATAAGAGACTCTAAAAAGCATCATTTAACCCAATTTGTAGTCGAACATATTTTTCATTTATTATTCCTTAAAAAAATTGAAACTGTCAATTCAAGTCAAAATCGAATCCAACTCGATAATTATAGAATGAGAACAACCAAAACATCCTTAACTAGTTCAAATTCGAAAATTTTGAGACATTTAAGGTGTGATTGAATATGGATTTGATTAAAAAAATAATTATTTTTAAATCAATCACTTTTTTTTAATATTATTTATATTATTAAATAAACAAATCAATCATTCTTACGAATCACATCAACATTAATTCAATGTTCATTCAATCACACAATTTTAACTAATCATCATTTTATATTATCTCTCTCCTACATTTATATCAAACCAATTTTAATTATCTTATTTTAAATAATTTTTTAATATAAACTTATAATTCCACTAAATATTAATCGTACACATTTTTTAAAATTGACTATGATTAACAAAAAAACCAAACAAAATCAGATCAAATTCATATTCAATCATACTCTTTAAGTCGTTGGACCAGGTCCGGAACCGACGGGTCGGTCGGGATGCCCATCTCTACCCAAAAAATAAGAGAGATTAAACAAGAAAAAAAAAAAATCATTCACATGCATAAATAAAAAAAAAACTAAGATCTTATTTTTGCAAAACCAGTAATAATATTAATAACAATAATAATAAATAATACATAAATCTCGAAAATTGCCAACCTGTCTTCTTCACTTTTCGTTTGGCTCACCTGCTGCAAGATTACTCTCTCTCTCTCTCTGTCCCCTCTCTTCACAATTTCTCTCTCGTAAAAGAACCGTTTCGCAGAACGGATCTTTCATTTTCCTTTTTCAATATTTTTGCCCTTTTCTCCTATCGTGTTAAAGCCAATCATTCGTCCGCACGGTGAACTAATTATCAAATTTCAACGGCTGCTGTTCATGTCTGACTGCCGATTAGCTAGGTCATGTGAGTGTCGCTTTCTCCCTTTTTTAATTCGTTTGATTAAATTGGGTCTCCCACGTTGCTGAGACGGATTTAGAACATTGTTTTGGATCTACTTCAAATGGGTTTTCTGTTGAATTGATTAGTTTTTGTTTCGATTTTGGTAATTTGTTCTTAACTGCGTTTGGTGGGAAACGACTTGGTCCTGTTTTTTGTTTGGGTTTGTTGCTTTGCTCTTTCTGTCAATGTGGATGAATTTTTTTGGGGGGTTTATGTATTGAAAAATTGAAATTCAAGCTGTTGGAATGATTTGAATAAAGTTTATGGATGCAAATTCTTTTTAAGGGTTTATGTTGGAGGATTTTCTTTCTGCAGAAATCTGGCAATTGTAAAAGTTGTGATTTCTCACTCATATTGGGTTCTCAATCTACTTCTATTTGATGTCTGTCATGTCTATCCTGATATTATCAACTTCATCTGCCTTTGGGAAGTTCCTAATTTTCTTTGGCCATTGTTTGGCCCAGCCAAGATGTATTTTCTCTAACTTTCCTTGTCTTTTTTGGGGGTAATCCAGATGCATAGTTAATAGTTGTACTTGGTCTTACAGAGAGTAGTAGCTGTTAAAACTTCAAATGTTAAGAGAAGAAGAAAAAGACCAGGCATCATCACCTGGCAAAAATTGGAGAACATACTCAAGATCCGTCTCATGGTCTGAACGCCGAAAATCCAGTTCGGGCCCGCAATGGAACAGCAAAGCCCGTGCTTGCTTACCCCCACTCCAGCCTCTCTCCATAATCCGGCCCACCATCGAGGACTGGCCCAAAGCTGGCTCGGACGACCTCGGGGTTTGGCCCAACCCCCTTACCCCTGGTGCAAAACCCCACTCATCCACCCCCCGTGAAAACCCAGCTCCCGATAGAGAATTCGAGTGCAGAAAGGACAAGCTCGCCTTTTTCGACAAAGAATGTTCTAGAATCTTGAACCATATCTACTTAGGCAGTGATGCCGTCGCGAAAAACCGCGAAACCCTCTTAAAAAACGGGATAACCCACGTGCTGAACTGCGTTGGGTTCAGCTGCCCCGAGTATTTCAAAAACGAGCTTGTGTACAAGACCCTTTGGCTGCAGGACTGCCCGTCCGAGGACATCACGAGCATTCTGTACGATGTTTTTGATTATTTCGAGGATGTCCGAGAACAGGGAGGACGCGTGTTCGTCCACTGTTGTCATGGAGTTTCTCGCTCGACTTCGCTCGTCATAGCTTATCTCATGTGGAGAGAATGTAAGAGCTTCGACGATGCGTTCGAGTTCGTGAAAACGGCTAGGGGAGTGACGAATCCGAACGTGGGCTTCGCGTGCCAGCTGTTGCAGTGTCAGAAGCGGGTCCACGCTCAGCCCGCGAGCCCGAGTTCTCTACTCAAGATGTACCGAATGGCGCCCCATTCTCCGTACGACCCGCTTCATTTAGTCCCGAAAATGTTGTCCGAGCCCGGGCCCGGGAAGCTCGACTCGCGTGGGGCTTTTATAGTTCACGTGCCGTCTGGTTTGTTTGTCTGGGTCGGGAAGTGCTGCCCGCCCGTGATGTCTGAAAAGGGGTTGTCAGCTGCTTTGCAGGTAGGCTTGTAAACAGAGTGGATGTTTTTTATTTGATTCGATATTCAAATTCGAATACGAATAATGTTTTATATTCGAAAGTTAAACGAATTCGAATATGTAGATATTCGATTCGTTATCAATAATTATATAAATTTTATAAATTATATATAGTACATATTTTGTTTATAATATATATGTATGTATATATATATATATTATTTTCTAATATTTTTATGGCATAAAAGGAAAAAAAGTCCCAAATTAACAATTTGCCCTAAAAACATCTCGAATTGGATAGGAAAAACATAAACAATAACGAATTTCGAATCGAATCGAATACGTTCGATTATTCTACGAATCGAATACGAATCAAAATTTGAGTTCATTTACAAATCGAATACGAATTCGAATCTTCGAATATTTTAACGAATCCGAATCGATTATCTTTTAGTATTCGCTTTGATTCGATTCGCTTACAACCCTATTTGCAGGTCATTCGTTACGAACGGGCCAAAGGACCGGTCATAACTGTTAAAGAAGGTGAGGAGACTTTCGAATTTTGGGAAGCTTTCGGTTGTACAAATGCTTTAACAGAAAAGGATGTGTCCGCTAATAATAAGCGGAAACTCGACGAGTACGATTTAGATTTCGATATCTTCCAAAGGGCGCTTTCGGGAGGGGTCGTCCCGCCTTTTCCTTTAGCGGAGTTTGGGCCCGAGACGAGCCTTCCGGTTCGGGAGAACGGTTGGAACAGACTAAGAGCCATCGCTATTCGTAAGGAAATTGAGGAAAATGTTTCGAGTAGTCCATGCTGGCGTGATTCGCCAGATTCATTGGCCTCCTCGTATGTGACAAGCAGAAGCAGTCCATGCTGGCCGAAAAGTAACCTGACTCGTTCACAGTCATTGAATCTAGTCGAATCTTTTTCTACCCTTTTGGTTAACAAGCCTCTGTCGAGCTCGACTTCACCATCGGCTTCCCCTTCGACTTCAGACTATTCGAGTTCTTTCACGGTTTCGCCCGCTTCCTCAGACTTATCGTTCGTATCCGCACAATCTTCGCCTTACGTAACTGAATCTAAAGATGATGAGGGATCTTTGGATGAAAGTAGTATGTGCTTTGGTGGTAATATTGTGAATTCTTCGCCTCCTCCGAAAGAAAAAGATGCGTTTGCTTGCCGTGTTTCGAAAGCTGTCGGTTTGTGCTCAACTTTACCTTTGCTTGCTGAGCGTAGGGGGATGATCTTGCTGCCGTCTATTGCTGAGGCGTGCCAAGTTTCGGAAAACTCGACGAGATATTCGGGTGATGATGATGTGGCGAGTGGGCGCGAGTGCATTAACTTTGTTTCCGAGGGGTCTTTTCGGAAAAATGAGGAAGGGCGGCCCGTTGTGGATGCAAATTGCCGTGCGGTTGATGATGAAGGTGTAGATTCGTCTGCTAGATGAAAAGAAGTATCCAATGCTGGGGCAAGATTATATTATGTTAATACTCAATGCTGGGGCAAGATCTAGCACAAAAATCGTTGATGGTTTTATTTGTGGATATATAGGGTGTAACATATCATCATCTGGAGGTATTACTCGGTTTTCAGTGAAGGTTTGGTCCTAAAATTTTCTCGTTGAGAAGGGTTTCAGCCAGATGCTAAACAATAAGGTACATTATATACTTAAATTTGAAGGTAGTATTCGATTAGGTTCCTTTTTTCTGCCTGACTCAACAGAAAATGTTATGTGATCTTTAATTTCATCTTCTAAATGTGTGTGGATTGAAATTGTGTTATCTTTAAGAAACTAGTTTTACATAATTTCTGAAAGAGATTAAGTGGTACGCAATAAAGGAAAAATGACTAATATATGATATTAAATTATGTGGAACAACTAAAGGCAGAATTGTTAATCTTGATCCTAAAACAACTGCAAATCTTTCATTCTTGCGTGTTGCTTCTTGTTGACTCGTTTCAGTAAGGGAGTATATGAAGAGGAAAAAAGTGTTTTAACGGCATTTCTTTTTTCTTTTTTACCTTCTTTTGTAGTTTTTGTTTTTCTAGCGAAATGCTCACAATCACCGACAATCGAGCAAGCATGATATGATAGTATACATCTATCCTTTGGGTGCAAACTTATCAGCTAATGACTAATATATGGCTACGGCTTGTCACTTGATATTTGTGGATTTTTGTTAGTAAAACAACATATTTATCTGTGTTCATGTTGGATGAGGAATTTGACAAAAATTGTTGGTTTTGTTGGTGATCGACCGAATCTTGTTTCTTTATCTTTTATAACTTAGTTTCATAACTATATATTCGAGAAACCAATTACATAAACTTGTAATGTGAAAATACAGAACTGACCCTGTGGAATTAGACTGACTGTATTTGCAGCATTTGAAATATACATTTTTTTTTTGTGTGTGTTTCAGATTATCAAGAAAGGCGACAAACCGAGCTGCACGGAGATCAAGCATAATGAGGTAGTTGGATTAATTTAATTAATTAAGGGTTTAATGCAGGTTAGGCAGTGTAATCTTAATTTATGAATCTCAAAATGGGTGTGGCTCAAAATTTTGCTGCACTTTGGGACATCCCAAAAGGCAGGGCAAATGCAGCTTGTGTGTGTTCTGCTTGTGAGATGTAAAATGATTAAGAAAAGGTCCCATTTTAACTCTGAAACTGTATGTACAATTATCAATAAATATTTCTGTATGTTCAAATGAAGGATTTGCAGGGAATATTTTATGTTGCCCATGTCTCTCTTGTCTTGAATTTTTTTTTTTTTTTATTTGCAAGTGTTGCTTATTAGTAATGTAAATAACACAAATTATATTGCGAGGCGAAGTAATTGTGGACAGACGGATGGACCCGTCATACTAACAAAGATACATACACATAATATTAGAAATTTAGAATAACAAAACAAAGAAATTTGCCACATCAAAATAGAAGTGCCATTGAAATGTGTTTTGTGCTCATGGTAAATTCTATAAGATCTTGAAAACAGTTTTTCCTTTGACAGAGATGAGTTCATTGATCAAAGTATGATATAATGTAAAATTTTACCACATCCTTAAGATTACATTGAATTATTCCTGCAAAATGCAGTCCATTCCATATCAAAATACAAGAAAACTTGTTTAAAATCATGTTCATTTCGGATCTCAGAATTGACGACCTACTGTTTGAGCTCTAAAACGAACTTAGCTGCTTGTGAGGTGGGCCCAACTTTTTAAGGCTCAAGGTCGGTTTCATAGCTCGTTTAGTTAACGAGCGTTGATCGACTTGGTTTGTTAAAGGTTGTTAGGTTATGGATACATCGGTTCTTACATAATGTTCTAAATTATTACCTCAACAATTTGTTAATTTTGATAAACTAGTCAAGTTTGAGCTTTTTTACTAATGAGCCGAGCTCGAATTAGCTCGATAAATGCGCAATTCGTGTTATGAGTTTGATAAACAACCTTGCGGAAAATAACTTTAAGCTCAGTCATATCTCGATAAATTTAAAAAATCGATTGGGATATTATGATCAACTTTGCTATCAAGTCATCGAATGATAAGACTTATGAAGTCATCTGTAATTGTTCACAAATCATCTTATAGAGTCATTTTTAATTATTTACAAATGATATGGACACGTGTCATATACATTAAATACACTTAAAACAAGCATCAATTCATCAATTTATGACTAACTCCACTAATTTATGTAGATTTGATTGAATAAGTTCTAAATAATTTTTTACCTTAATTCTACATATTTTTAGCTTTTGAAATACAAAATTATACTAGTGATAGGGAAAAACAAGAAGGAAGTCTTCAAACTTGTGACTGAGAAAGTTAATCGAAAACTTACTAATTGGAAAAATCTTTTGTTGAGTCCTGCTGGAAAGGAAGTTCTTCTTAAATCAGTGGCTTGTGCTATTCCTAATTATGTTATGTCATGCTTTAAGCTACCCAAGAGTTGTTGCAATTCTATGAATAAGTTAACTGCCAACTTTTGGTGGGGTGATAATAAATTAGGAAATAAAAAGCTCCACTGGGTAAAATGGGAGAGGTTGTGTATGCCAAGGGTTGATGGTGGTTTGGGGTTCCAGAACTTGCAAATAAACAATGAAGCTCTCTTAGTTAAATTGCTCTGAAGAATCTGTACAGATGTTAACTCTCTCTTGAGTAAAGTGATTAGAGCAAAATACATGGGGGATGAATGGTGGCTAAAACCAAGAATTAAAAGCAATCAATCATTGTTCTGGAGTGGTTTGCAAAAAACTCATGAGTTAATGTTGTTGGGTCTTAGATGGAATATTGGAAATGGTAAGGATACTCGGATCCGAAATACTCCTTGGATTCCATCTAATCCAAAGTTTCAATTGTTAGTTGGTTATTGCACAGAGACTAATTTAATTTGGGTTAATCAGCTTATTGACTTTGAGAACATGTGTTGGAACAAGAATCTTATTATGAGGAATTTTCATTCTCTGGATGTGGCAGCCATTCTTCAGATCCCACTCAACAACCTTCATGATAAAGATGTACCAATTTGGCATTGGGAAAAGAATGGGCTCTTCAGTGTGAAATCAGCAAAAAAGATCATCTCAAGAAATCAAAAAAGCAAGCTAGATATACCTGAAGGAAGCAGAACATAGAAGCAAAACAAAAACAAATGGGATGCAGTCTGGAGTCTAAAAGTTAAGAATAAATTGAAGCATTTCATTTGGAGATGTCTTAATAATTGCTTGGCAACAGGAACAAATCTTTGGAGGCAAAAGCAAGTAAACAGTTCCATTTGTCATATGTGTGGAGAAGGGGAAGAAAGCTTGGAACACATCTTCTTTACTTGTAGCAGAGCAGTCTTGGTTTGGAAATTATCACCGGTTACTTGGGTTAAGCGATACAATGGTGATCAGAACTTCAATGATTGGTGGTGTTCCTTAATTTCAGACAGGAAAATATTTAATTTCCATAACAGAGTGCATGTTTCGGTGTATATAATTTGGTGGTTATGAAAAACCAGAAATTTGTGGGCGTTTGAAGGACTTTGGAAATCAGAGAAAGAAGTATTAGGTGGAGCTTTGGCAGAATGGCTGAAATTCACTACAGTCAATGATGTAGGAAAACGTACGAATGAGAAAGATAAACAAACGAGATACTCTCTCGATAAAACTCACAATCTCATTTTTCATCAATAATCAACTGACTATAACAAAGCCTAAGATCCCTTTAAATAAAGTCATCAAATAATACCCTAGCTTATTCCCTAACCTTCTAATTATTAAATAATATTAATTGCTATAATAATAAGAATGCTAATACTAATAATAATAATTATTAGTCTACACCATTCTCCCCCAGTTGAGCAGAATTCGCCCTCGAATCCGATCCGTTCCCGTTGGAGACGTTCGCAAGACAGCAACAGCCCGAACGTTTCTCCCGATCGAACACGAAGGTTGAAAGTCGTCCAACAATCTCGAAGGTAAACATAATCTCGGTCAAGGATTCAACTGCAGCAAAGTCACATGTACATGACACCCGACGCAAAGCCCACGCAACCGAATGAACATAAAACAGACCATGTCATTCACCACGCATAAATCTATAACTATTGTATATTGAGAGTAGTATTTTAGTTTTTATATAGATATCTTTTGTTCCTTTTGTTGGTTTTTTTATCTCCTTTATCCCCTGGCTTATGTAAGCCCAGTGTGGATTGTAATGAAACTTTGTATTATATTTTCTGTTATGGAATTTAGTTGATTGTTCGAAAAAAAAGAAAAAAGAAATACAAAATTATAATTTAAAAAAAGGAGAGCATTTGAATGTCGATAATACCCTTTTAGCCATTATTTTCACTATTGGCTTTAGTTTAAAGTTCAAACACAAGCCAAAGCCAGTCACATGAAAGTGTGTCAGCTGTACTCGATAATTTCTCCACCCACCAACCACTAAACCACCGTCCACTGTCGCCGGAGCCACGCTGAGGCGAGCCGATCTCCGCCTGTCAAGCTGGCGTACAGCCCGAAACGAGCTACGGCGGAGCTTCGCCACTCGAGCTCCATCGGCAGCCGCTCCACGTCGTCCCCATCGGCGGCGTCCGTCGCGCCGTCTCCGTTGTCCGCCGACCACCACTCATCCGCCGCCGAAGACGACGACGACGACAACGGTCGCGATCGATATTCCCGGGATCGCTCGTTCCGCTCGTATTTCCAGCCTTTTCTTCCTCAATATTTTTCCCCAAACGACGATCTGTACAGGCCCCACCCCCATAGATCTAAGATTTCGATTCTCGTACTTATCGCTGTGGTTTTCACCGCCGTAATTTCAATTTCTTCTGTCGTCAAGCGATTGGTGAGCCGATGACCCTTTTGTGCGTTTGTATATTTGTGTTGTTTTATAAGCGTAAAGATGTTTTTTCATTTTCACGTTTCTATTTCTAATGCATTCATTGTTCTAGGTTACATGCTAATTTCTTGTTTTTCTTTTTTGTCATGTTGTATGGTACAAGTCATACTTTAATGTTGAAAAGATGCTTGCTTGTTGCTTCAGTTTTGGAACGGGTGAAATGTGCCCTACTTGTGAGAACAAAATTAGGCAAGCAGAGGTTTTGTATAACATCAGGAATGTATATTGGATCATTAGAGTCTAAACTTTTGTAATCACCAACTTGATACATCGCAACTGTGTTTTTTGATCAGTAAGATTGAATCCGAACTTCGAGTTTCCTTGTATTTGTATGTAAATGTTACAGGTTTGCAACTGCAACTGAACATATTTCCAGGTTAAATCGAGTGAATTTAGATGTGTGAGATTTACTGAGAAAAATATGTAATTTGAATGATAGTTTGATTGGATAAAACTTAGAAGAAGTGAAATTTCATGCACCTGGTGCCTATATTTAATGATGAAATTAAGCTGTACTGCAGTCCACTCTGTATGACATCCAGTTATGTTACCTGGCTTTTATTTGGTTCTCATGAGGATAAGTTTCACTTGTGTAAAATGGCGTTTGATTTAGATATCATTTGTAAATATTGCACGTGTGAAAGTTCATTCCCTTGTTCTCCAACTTCTGATGATTTTGTCTTGGACCTTTTCCTCTGCTTTTTGGTTGCAGAATGCCCCATATTTATGCAAAAAAGATGGCATAACTCTGCAGTGCCCTCATGTAAGTTCAAAAGGTTATTACATTTACCAATTTTATTGTCTTTCTAGCTGATTATGTTTGATTAAAGTTTTGTTTTTAATTTAAGTAGGTAAAGGAGACTCCATCACTTTGGGAGAATCCTTACTCAGCCACTACATCATGGAAACCTTGTGCTGAACGACATGAGGGCATAATTTCAGGTACTTTAAAATAAAGGCTGATGAATACTACCCACTTTTCTTGGGGTGTATATATTCAATTTCTGTAAGATTCAATTTAATTACTTGATTATGTTATAATTAAGCTGCATATGAATATCTTTTTTTCTTTTTCGACTAACGTTTTATTTCCTTGCAGATCTTCCTGCGGAGAATGAAACAAACGGCTATATATTTATACATGCTGAGGGCGGTCTCAACCAACAAAGAATTGCGGTATGTGAACTTTGTGAAGAGACTCACAGACAAAATTTCATCTCGCTCAGTTGGTTAATTCATGCATAATTAACATGTAATCTGTGAAAGGAAGCTCATCACTGTCACTTGTATTTATTTTGCTTCTAGAGAAAGTGATTGTTTACCTATATCTTGAAATCACATTGCACGGGCTGTGAGTATTTGATTTTTGAAAGTTATTATAATAATTATATTCTCTGCAGATATGCAATGCTGTTGCTGTAGCAAAGATCATGAATGCTACTCTTATTTTACCTGTGCTGAAGCAAGACCAGATATGGAAGGACCAAACGTGAGTAAAGTGGACTAAATCTATGCTATTTATTTTCCATATTATTGAAAAAGTAGCCTTTTGACTCCAACATCTGTTTCTTGTGGCCGGAATAGACACAGTCTATAAATCGTGCTGGGGATACTTCTTTATGCTTTTTCTTCCTGTTATTGCACAGTAAAAAGTTATTGCTAATACAGGTGCAAATCATTTTGCATTTCCAGCATTCATTCTCTAATAACCAATGCTTTAATATAGTATAGCTTACTATTACGTGATTTGAGTCAATTAGGAGCCTCTGTAGCCGAGCCCTTAAGCTTCGAAGATGGTTTTACAGTAACTAGTGTAAACTGTAATGTACACTTTATTACTGTGCAATGTGTGACGAATTGTATATTAGATTTTAAGTTCTTGATAATGGAAAGTTAATCTGCAGGAAGTTTGAAGACATATTTGATGTGGATCATTTTATTGACTACTTAAAAGATGATGTACGGATCGTGAGAGATATCCCTGAATGGTTCACAGATAAAACCGAGCTTTTCAGTAGCATAAGGTTTGACTCCTTCACTTTGAACAACAAGAAATTCTTATTGTTTTAAAACTTTTATAAATATTTAAATTTTTTATTTCTCATACAATTTATTCACAAAAATGTTGTTGAATTTGCTTGTGAATCCTCATTTTGTAATTTCTCACTATTCACGATAGACGTACGGTCAAGAACATTCCCAAATATGCTCCGGCGCAGTTCTACATAGACAACGTTTTGCCTCGTATCAAGGAAAAGAAGATAATGGCTCTAAAACCTTTTGTCGATCGACTGGGGTGAGCTGTCGCCTTTTGCTCCCTGTAAAATTTCATCCATCGTCATAAAAGTACACTCTAAACCGATAACTCTGCCTATCTTTGTTTCTCATTAGGTATGATAATGTCCCTCAAGAGATCAACAGGCTAAGGTGCAGAGTGAACTATCATGCTCTCAAGTTTCTTCCCGAAATAGAGAATATGGCTGATTTACTCGTATCTCGAATGAGAAACCGAACTGGAAGTTCAAATCCTTTCATGTGAGTGACTACAGACACAGCAGTTTAAAGTTTACTCATTTTTCCTTTCCTGGGTCTGATTCTTCTTAATCATTCCTAAAAAAAAAATATCTTCTCAGATGAATGGTTGTATAACTTTCATCGAATAATCTTTGTTCATTACATGTGTGTATGTCATCAGGGCTCTTCATCTAAGGTTTGAGAAAGGTATGGTGGGCCTTTCATTCTGTGACTTTGTCGGGACTAGGATGGAAAAGGCACTTATGGCCTTGTACAGACTAAAAGAGTGGCCTCGACGTTTCAAGGTATCATTTTTTTGTTTTTATCTTTTTCTTCAGGTTGCAATTGTCAAATGATAATAAAGAGAGATATGTACTGCACTAACTTTGAATTTCTTAGTGCATGCTTGGATACAATTTTTTTCCAAAAAATCTAATCATTTTTAACCCAATCACTTTTTTTTTTAACTCGAATCTAACTCAATTTTAATTCAACCCAACTATCCTCAATATTATCAATATAATTAGATAATACCACTCAATCAGTCTTACACATTATATCAACTTTAATTCAATATTGATCCACTCACATAATTTTATTTAACTATCACTTCACATCATCTCTCATACTTTTACATCGAATAACTTCAATCATTTTATTTCAAATATTGTTTTAATATAAACCCAAAATCCCACTAACAACTAACCATACCATATTTTTCAAAATTAACTTTGGTTAACCAGAAAAACTCATTTTGAGCGGATTAATTTGTAAACAAGCAGCATTTTCTTTTCTTTAATTAATCATTGACATTAAATCTAGGCCAATACGACTAAATTTTTTGGGTCCCACTTTGCAGGATGGTTCTCATCTTTGGGCCTTAGCTCTTCAGAAGCGTAAGGAAGGTCGGTGCCCTCTTGAGCCGGGCGAGGTAGCTGTGATGCTTCGGGGAATGGGCTATCCGAAAGAAACCCAAATATACGTTGCATCTGGACAGGTTTATGGTGGCCAAAACCGTATGGCCCCGCTCAGAAACATGTTCCCCAATCTTGTTAGTCCATTCACTCTTATATACTTGGGACCTCCTAGTTTACCACTTTTTGTCTACCTTAACCTAGAAATAATAAATAAACAAAAGACGATTCGATGTTTTGTGGATATAGTTAAAAAAAATATATGATATGGTAGTCAGAAATATGTTAGTGGGTGAACAATAAAATCTGAACAAAAAATCTGCAGTAATAATTGGTTTTTTTTAAGTGAACGGATGGGTGAGTTTGACGTGAGAAATTTATGGAATGAGTAAATGGTATATTATTTGAGAAATGCTATAAGTACATAATATTGTATATAGAGTTGTACATAACACACACATTAAGTGGGTCCTACTAAAAATAAAAAATCAAGTCGACCCCAGTCCATGTAAGTGTTATGTACACCTATATGTACATTTATTATTTTGTACTTGTAGCATTTTTCATATTATTTGAAACTTGAGAAGAAAGTTTTCTCTACTGGAAATGAAAAATTGAAACCTTTTCATATCCAAATATCCAATAGCACTTTCACAATTGCAAAATCCCATTCAATTTTTTTTTTTTTTAATTAACAATCTTTTACAGGTCACAAAGGAGGAACTAGCTGATAAGTTCGAGCTGGACGGCTTCAAAAAGCACGTGACGAGCCTCGCAGCTCTCGACTTCTTGGTTTGCCTGAAATCCGACGTTTTTGTAATGACACATGGCGGCAACTTTGCTAAGCTGATAATAGGGCATCGCCGGTATTTGGGCCACCGCCAGAAATCCATAAAGCCCGATAAGGGTCTCATGTCCAAATCCTTAGGGGACCCTTACATGGGCTGGGCCACGTTTGTGGAGGATGTGATGGCGACCCACGAGACACGAACGGGCTTGCCAGAAGAAACTTTTCCGAATTATGACATCTGGGAGAACCCCTTGACCCCTTGCATGTGTAGAACCTGATTTTTTTTTTTATTTTTTTTTTTCGATATTATTATTTTCTGATATTTTGGTTTTAGCTCAGGGGTAGGGTTTGCAGGTAATGAAATTTTTTTCGAGCAGGTGATATATGGGAGAAGTTTATGAATGAATGAANGACGCAAGCTTACTTGACCACCATTATTATTGTGTGGTTGTGACATTGACATATCATCAAGCTCTTGAGTCCAAAGGTTAATGCTAAACAAATGGGTTTTAGTGGGTGATGTGATTTTTAATAAACTAAAAATTTTCGATTTTAAAAGTCTGGGCAATCGAGCAATCAGATTGCACGAACACACGAGCACGTGCACACAAACTTACATAGATGTGCATTGATCCAAAAACTATTGGCTTTCTTTTTATACATATAATTGATTCCTACGATAGTTTTTCTTTCTTTCTATACGCAGGAACAGAGTCTACGGTGGTTTTTCTTTCTTATACGGCTAGTGTTATAACTAATTTTTCAGAATAAAATCTGAAATTGTTGACAAAGTGAATAACAATTATTGGTGGCTTGCTTTTATTTTGATCTCAACCACAAGATAAGTCAATTTTTAACTATGTGGGCAATAGTTTCAATGTCATTTCACAATAAAAATGAAAGATATTGATCAAAATAAGAAAAGGTGTACGGTTAACAAATGGAAAATGTTGAGGAAAACAACAAGAAAAGAATGAGCTAATGCATTTATATTGGATGATATGAATAGTATTCATCATTGTCTAGCTATAGTGAAGTTTAAAGTGTTAAAAAGCTTCACGTCTTTGAATTAGTATAACATAATAGTAGCAATTATATAATATATTTCAGTCCCTACAAGACTAAAATTACAATAAAATTTTAAATTTCAATACTTAAATTGCTAATAAAAAATTCATCCCAAATATATAAATTTAGGAATTTATTACAATTTCAATCATTTGAGGACTGAAATTGCAGCAAAATATTAAATCATAAGACTAAAAGACGGAATGTTAAACTTTTGGGACTAAAATTGTTATAACGTTAAGCTACCAGGATTAAAAATACAATTTAGTCTCAAAGTTTTACATATATGTTTAAAGAATTAATAATCCAAGGTACCCTTTCAACTTTCAACAACCATTGTTTATAAATTCAACTAGCTTTTAATTGGTTTTTTTAATCATAGTTAATTTACAAAAAAAAGTGGTATGGTTAGTTGTTAGTGGATATATTAAAATAATATTTAAAATAAAATAATTAAAGTTATTATGATGTAAAAGTAGAAAAAAAAAATGATTAAAAGTGATAGTTAATTAAAATTATGCGAGTAAATGAATAGTGAATTAAAGTTGATGTGATGTGTAAGAATAATTGATTAATATTATTTAATTATATTGATAATAATAGAGATAGTGTGATTAGGTTAAAATTGAATTAAATTTAAGTTTTGATTGATTTTTTTTAATTAGATTGATAACCAATCACCCCTTACCCTTAATTATTTATAGTTTAATAGTTCTGAAGTGTTCACCATCAAACATTTCGCGCCTTGTTTGGTGAGAACAAAAATTCTTCTTCCTGTTTTTTCTCAATTTTCTATATGCAGCTGTCACAAATTCCGCATTTCGAGGATCTTCTTCTTCTTCTCCTTATCTCCATTTATNTCCCTTCCTCACAAACCCAGAAAAAATCCCCAACACCAAATCAAACCCTTTCCACCTAAACCCCAAAAAACCCATCTCCCACAAAAACCTACAAAAGTTTTCACGCATTTTCTTCAGTCCCACATCGAAAAGCCCGAGCCCGAAAACCCCCCCACTTTCTTGCCTCTCAATAAACCAAACCTTCACGGCACAGCCCTCAAGCGTCTCGCAAAAGGTCCAAAGTTTGGATTTTGAGTTCAAATCCCTCACAAAACCCATCGATAAGGTCAAGAGGTTGCTGCACTACGCCACGATTTTGCCCCCATTTAACGAGTCTTCAAGAACCCTAGAAAATCGGGTTTCGGGCTGTACGGCCCGGGTCTGGCTCGAGGCGAAGATGGACGAAAGTGGGGCCATGAGGTTCTGTTTGGACAGTGATTCGGAGATTACTAAAGGGTTCTGTTCTTGTTTGATATGGGCCCTCGATGGGGCCCGGCCCGAGGATGTGCTGAGCGTAAAAACAGAGGATCTGTTGGAGATGAACGTCGGGCTGGCGGGTCGGGTCAGGTCGAGGGTCAACCCGTGGCAAAATGTGTTGTTTGGTATGCAGAGAAGGACCCAAGATTTGGTTGAGGAGAAAGAGTGTCCCAATTGTTTGGAAAATGTTGTCTCTTACTTGCTTGGTGTTGATGGGGGTTTTAAGGAAACTCATATTTGCTAGTTGATTTTTTTTTTTTCCTGCACTTTTTTTGGTAATGGTTCTCTAATTATATTTTTTCATTAAATATTCATACTTGTTATACTCATGGCTTATGGTATCCTAATAGGCACCATAGAATTTCTGTTTGTTATACTCTAAAGAATAAATGTATCCTAATAGGCACCATAGAATTTCTGCTTGTCATACTCTAAAGAATATATGAAACAAAAGTATGACATTTCAATTTGTAAATATATATTTTTCGTAAAAAAAAAGTATGATGGATCTATTCTTGTTCACATTTAGGTTACACGAGAACTTGTGATTTTTTTTTATGTACATTGGGATCAATGTTAATTGGGAATGTGAGAAAGTTCATGGTCCATGGAGTATTTCTTGTTATCATGGGATCTAATTAGTTATACAACTTATTGTATGAGATTGTTTAATAGTTAAGCGGGTGGATTCAATCATATTTTTTTAATAAAATTGCTTAATTATATACTTATATGTCACGTGTTTTAAAATATGCATGTTCATTACATTAAAAAAGTGTATGTGATAGTCTATGTTTTTTTAATTATAATCATTTGGAACAAAAAATATCCCCTTCTCTAGGTTCACTTTTGATTTGTACAAGACAAATCCATGTATTAAGGTCATATTTAATTTACAAGTATATTATGTGATTGTAATTAAGCAAACTTCTAAGGATATAATTTGTGTCATTGTGTGTGATGGTCCCCCATTGGTTGCTATCAGCCAATTATATAATTTCTATCTTGTCCTAATTCCCATTTTATACAATTTATGCATCATATGCATTGTTATCATCTTTCCTTTTCCTGCTTAAAATTCCAAGTCTATTGGGCAAAGGCTATGGGCACGTGATTAATAATAGTAACTGGTTTGATGATTTCAAAGCATTTGAACAGAAAACTACATGATCATTTTCAAAAGTCTACTAATATGCTTGAAGGCCACATGTGAAATTAACCCTAAACAGATATGCTCCTTTTTTTAAAAAAAAAAAAAATGTATTATGCAGTTCACCTAGTTCATTCTTAGTTTTAATTCAATCTCTCAATTGCGTAAAATCGGATAAAATCGAAAATCGAATCTGTCGCGATCAACGACACTTTGGTTGACCTAGCTTGCTGGTACAACGCTTTTTCGTACTATACACATTACGAAAATAGGTAAATATATTTTTGAGTTATGAAATTATTGGCGAATTTCCTACATCTATAAATACACAATAAGTATGCTTCCATTTTTCTAACTTTAATTTAAAAGTTCATTTGCATATAAGTTCATATCAATAGTGTTCATGTGAGTCTTTCATTGTTGATAGTACCGGATAAGAGTAATAATCATTGAAGACTTGTGTATTTACATCACCATTATACACAAGTAAAAAGTCGTATTTTAGAAGCGTTAACCATGAACATTCACATACTAGAAGTGTGTACATCTACGAGTCACAACTTGTTTTTACTCAATTGTTTTTTTTCCTTTTATTATTTTGGTTATTCTTATGATATCCACATGCACCATACATCACTTGTATTGTATTAATAATTTAACTACACGGGTGCTTGTTAAAAAATTATTCTTAAATTTTAAAATTAATGAGAAAAAACTATTTTAAATTTATTTACTTTTTCACAAAAAATATATATTATTATATATTTTAGAATGACACTTGGTATTTGTGCGACTTATATGTGTTACATTATAGTAATTTTTATAACTTATATAATATAACTACTTGAAATATAAATATATTAATTGATAAATAATTTTATTGTTCTAATTAATATTAAAAAATAATTTTAATATTGTTATAAAGATATATATAATTTATTTTTTTATACATACAATATGGATGTTAAATCGAAGTTAATCAAGAGATGATTAATTGATATATTATATATGTAAAACTGATAAAAAATACAAAAGTTATTAACTTTTAAAATATATTTACAATTCAATAGTTATGATAAGAAATAATATTAATATGACCATAAATAATCTAACATATTTATATATAATCCGAACCTAATTATTTTTGGATTGAAAGTAAATTAAAATCTACCCAAGCAAGCATGTAATTTTGCCACATAAGATCCCGAAGCATGTGAGTCTGCCACTTAAACTCAGCACGTTCTGAATTAATATATAAAGGGATCTTGATCAGAAAACAAAGAGAAAAATTTCCTCATCCCATGAAATAAAAAAAATGAAAAACTACATAAATAATTATGTGATGTTGAAACTTCTTTCAGGTTCACTAAAAACTTGTGGTGCACAAGTAAACAAGGTATCCTAGTTGTTAGGACATCACCTAACTGATCATCTAATAAATCAAAACCATTGATTTGCCCTTATAAACAAACAAGCAGCCTTCTGTTGTACAAAAACCTATCATATTATCTTCTTTGAAATTTATTAATTCAAGAAAATAATCTAAAATGAACTTATTAAGACCATCTC